ACACCACATGGACGAAGCTGAAAGACACAAGATGAAAAGCAAATGTGACATGGACATATGCCTCAATCAAGGAAGTCGTGTGCCACCATATATACAAGGCTCCAAACCATGTGTTTCCAAAAAGCAAACCATATGTGTAGTCAAACAAGCCACATGCCATGACAAATGTTCATGTGAGGTGGCTATTTGTGTTAAAACCCTACTTTTTGCATGTGATGGGGGCTATAAAAAGAAAGTTAGGGTTTTACTTGAGGAGGCATCCTAAGGGGAATCCTAAGAGAATGAGAGACGACTAAAGTTTTATTATACATTTAATTTTTATTTTTATTTGTTCTTGAAGATCCAAGGCTAATTTTCCTTTCGGATCAAGAGTGACGTGAACTTTGTAAAACAAGTTATGAGATCTATTTTTATTTTCATAACTTATTCGGGTTTTTTCTCTTTTGTTATTACATGTTAACTTCATAATATTGATGTTCTTAAATACTTAGGATGCATACTAGGTGATTATGATCAATTAATAATTACTAGATTAGGGTTTATAATACGTAATCGTTATAAAACCTGTCACAAGAAGCAATTATATTTAGTAATTTATAATGTTGATATAATTACAATCTAAGAAGATTAGAATTATAGGTTAAACCAATTTGCTTTAGTGCTGATTATCTATTTCGATTATTCTCTAATTCATTAATGCTATTATTAGGTTACATGTAGAGAGCCCGTCCTATGTGATTCAATAATTAGAATTCAAATAGCATGCTTTTTCTTATGTTTGATGATTATGTAAGGAGAATGAGTTAATCTATGCTTTTTAGATTAATATAGACCAAATAATAAATCATGAATAAGGTTCTTAAGTTTCTTTTATGATTAGCTTACAATTCGAAGATAAACGTTCACTCTAAATGTTCACTCTTGATCGAGTTTGTTTCTCTTAATTGATTTCTTTACTTCAATTCTTTTCATTTTTTGTTAAAATTTGATACAATCCCCTTTTATTTCAAATGGTTTACGTGCGAGTAAACATAAGAAGAGCAATGTAACTTAGTCTCTATTAGATAGGCCTAGACTTACCGCTAGCTATAGTTGTTAAGTTTAGACAATTATTTAGTGGCGCTATGACTTGCCACCAGCCTATCACTTGTATTTACTTTCTCTCGTAGTGAATTTAATTTTCTATCATCTTTCTCTAACTCTTTTTCTATTATCTTAACAATCTTTACTATTATTTTTTTTCAATAAGATCAAAATTTAAAATATTATAATTAGAATTAATGAGGTTTAAATATACATCTAAAAAAAATCAATAGTGGAATTTGAAAATTGAAAGCTTAAGTTGAATGAATATTTTTCTTATTATGTGAACCGATGTATTAAGAGCATAATGTTCCATTCTATTGATAGAAAACTCATTAAAGACTTGGGGTGAGTAAGCGTGGAAATAGATAAGTATCTGGTCTATTAATTCAATTTTTAATCCTATTTGTAAAGAAAAATATCATACTCATTACTTATTAAAAAATCATCATATAAATCTTTATCTAGTCTATACCTAATCCATATTAGTTTATTCATCCATTTAGTACCTATTTAATACCCATTAAAATTAATTTTCCAAACGTATTCATTTTGGTTCCTACAATATACAAGAAAAGTCTTTTTGGTCTTTAATTTTTTTTTTTCATTTTGGACATTTATTTTTAAGTTTTTTGGTCCTCAAAGTTTTTGGAAAAAAAATTATTTTAGACTTTAATTTTAAAATTTTATGTAATTAGATCCCTAAATGTTAATAAAAAAAATTAGTGAATATTAATAGGATAAAAAGTGGATATCCGTATTCGAAACCATATTAAGAGATATATATTTTTTTATTTTTATCCATTTCAATATCTATTTGATATTTTTAATGAGTATTTATTTGACATGATAAAATAGTTAATTTTTATACTTAGTTCATTATCATCCTTGGATGAGCCAGTCTAAAATATAGTATAGAGGTAGATTGGAAGTTATGATTGTTATCATTTCTAATCATGCGAGACTAAATTAAACAATAGAATTGTTATGGCTCTAAATAAAAAGAAGAAGAAGATGATGATGATAACGTTCTCCACTCCAAAGCATTGTATATTCTCATAAAGTGTTTCTCCAGTGGCAATCCATCCCATAGACGGCATTTTATGCATACAGTCCCAACAAAAAATATAATCACGACCAATTGTGGTTAATTTTATCCCACTCACTAATCTATAATTGCTTATTTAACCCTACTCAAATATAGCACTTCCGACATTTCCGTATAACACACACATATATATAGGGAAATTCAATGAATTTTGGCTACATTATTAAAATAATTGCTATCTTAACTTATAGATATTCTTTTCAGATTTTAATGTCGTAAGTTTTAAGGTAGCTCGAACTAAACATTAATAAATTAATGAATTTATCTACATATACATACATACACATATATATTAGGTGTATTCATCGGTTCTTTATATATACTTTTTTTGTCTTTTAGTCATTTTTTTTATTTGAATACATATATTCATTTATCTTTATATAATACTCAAAATCTTCTATTTATTTTTAGATTTTCAATTACATCACATCTATTTTTAAAAAATTTTAAAATGTTCAATCTATTTTTACGATTAAATTTTCCAACCATAAAATATCGTTTCACCGAAATACCCTTTATTAAAAAAAAAAACACTTAGAATCGCATGACCTATATGTTCTATTTTTTTAGTTTTCTAAAATTTTACCTTTTTCTTTTTTTTGCATTTCAATTAAGAGAATTTCAGTCAAAAATATTTTATTTGGTGGGAAAAATTTATCGAAAAGATAAATTAAACATTTCAAATATTTTTAGAGATAAATAGAATGCAATTAGAAACTTAGAAACATATGAACGAATTTTAATATTATATAAGTACAAAAGAATATATTTATCCTTTTTATTTTTATTTTTTTTATGAAAATGCATGTTACTACAACCACCAAAAAGAAGTAATTTTAAAAAATATAAAGAATGAAAATTTTATTTAAAAAAAAAGTTGGAAAAAAATGAAAAATCTATATTAAAAAAAAAACTAAAAATAGTTTTGAAAAAATCTTTATAAAAAAAAAAACCATGGCCAAAAAGCCGTATAAATAGAAATATGTCTTAGGCAATGAAATAAGTTTTGCAGGACGCATGTTCTTCAAAATTTTCATTATTTACCAATATTTTTACGTTTTTTTATAGGCCAGCTTAATTTTTCGGGATGCTCCAAGTTTTTTACTTTACAAGGTTTATCAATTTATTATTATTAATTTTCTCATTTTTTTAAGTTTTTTAAAGTGATTTAACTTTCTTATGTTTTGAAAATTATTTTTTTCCTTTTGGTGGCCTAGAGGATATTTTTGTTCGAAAAACGGCTAAATAACATATGGAAATAAATATAAATATTAAATGATTTATAGCTTTTTAATTTTACATAACACGATGATGATGATTTGTATCTGTCATTTTAATAATTTTTTTAATATAATCAATAATATAGAGAGAAAAAAGTGTTTTGAAATTGAGTTACGTAAAACATTAGCTCATTTGACATGCTCCTGTGTTTTTTATTTTTTTAAGCATGACCTTTTCAAAAACAAAACATTTTTTTATAAAAAAAAAAAAAGACACCTGCTTTGCTTGCAATAACAGATACTAATAAAATATTGTTTTTAAATCAAAAGCAGCAAACATTTTATCAACAAGAACCTCAAGTTGGCCTGGTATGCTTCTTTCATTTTAATTTCCTTCAAATCTTGAGACTATCATTTTAAAGAATTTATTTTCTCTAGATTGATGCGCCTTTGAAATTGTCTAAAAAAGAAAAATTAATCTCTATTTATATACTTTTTATTGTTCAATAAAAAAAATTGTATGAAAGTATGTTAGTATAGGTATGATGATAGCTTGATGCATGATTATCCAACCATACTACTTCTATAAATCACTGAAAAAGTGCAAGACAAACTTTTGTTTGATACCAGAAAACCAATATTTGTCATCATTCATGCCTTAAGCATCCTACCCTTTTTATAAGGTGAAAGCAAAGCAAAGATCTACAGCATCCATTTAGTAAATAATCATTCATCTGGGAAATCACCACCTTTTGTTTAAACTAAAAGCAAACCCATTTAGTTGGCGAGCTATTGACAACCGTTTGATCTTAATTATCTTTCGGCTGCTAACCCATCAAAGGTGTAGAATTGTAGTGACGTTCATGGTTGTTCATGGAGAATGATACACCTTTGGTCCATTGTATAACTTCACTATTTATTTTTTAGCTTACTTTGAAAAAGATTTTGCTTTAATTATTCACATTAGGAGAGGGATTCCCAAATGGACCCCACATCTTCCAATAGCTAACCGTTTGGGCCTGACAATATTTTGACCGTTACAATGAATCATTTTTAAAATTTTCATTTCAAAAGTTAACCCTAACACCCCTCTAATGGCAACTCCTTCCACTCCACTTCCTTCTCAGATCCAGGCCACATTGGATTTCAGCGGAGTGCTAGAAGCAAAAAGGGGGTGACGCTGGCACTAAACTTCAAAAGTCATCTTCCCCGCTTTACTACCAACCGTCCGATCTGAATCCAAATCAAGGGCTCATATTTTCCCAAATTAATTCGTAGAATCAATCAAAGTTATGATCTTGATCTTCCCTCTCTTCCCGTTTCTTTTCTTTAGCTTCCATTCACTTCTGCAACCCATCTTTCCATCCATTCTCCATCAAAATCCAAACTTTCTTGGAAAATTTCCTAACTTTCTTGCATTTTGATAAGTTTCAGGGTCACTGAAAGAACCATCAGGGCATGTTTGGATAGATAGAAAATTTAGAATGCCAGTGTCAACAAGGTCTAGAGTCATTAGCCAAGAACAAAATGGCCCAAACTCAGATCAAAAAACAAGACCAACCAGCTACTCAAATCAAGAAGACAGTAACATGAATGTTCCTTTGAGAAATCCACATCATGGCTTGAAAGAAAAGATGAAAGCTCTAACTCTCTTATATGAGCAGCAAAAGAAAGCTTCTTCAACGTTAAGGAACCTGTCTCCGAAACCTGAAGAGAGGCGATTGTCGACACATCCAGGTGCGGATCTTCTCAATGGTTGCAAAAGAGAAGAGAAAGATTCAAAAGAAACGAAAGATTTAAAGCAAAACAATGTAATGAGAGAGAACGCAATGCCTACATTGCCTAGTGCAAAGCCTAATACTACAGTTTCAAGAACCTTCGTGTTACCAGAACCAACTGTTGATGATGCTAAGGAGAATCTTGTGATGGGTCCGGACCGGGTTATAGGGTTTTCAACGTGTCCAAGAAAGACTAATGTTGCAAGTACGGTGGCAAGGAAGCTTTCAATGGGAAGCTCAGTGCCACACATAGAGCCGAGAGGGTTTGTTGGATCTAAAAATGTGCAAGAAAATGAGAAATTGGAGACTGTTTTGGAGAAAAATGGGGCAAGTGGAAGCCGGATTTTGGTGTTTGTGAGGCTTAGGCCAATGGCCAGGAAGGAGAGAGAGGCTGGCTTGAGGTGCTGCGTGAGGATTGTGAATAGGAGAGATGTTTATCTGACTGAGTTTGCTAATGAGAATGATTATCTTAGGCTAAAGAGGCTCCGTGGACGACATTTTACATTTGATGCTGCATTTCCAGATGCAACTTCTCAAAGTGAAGTTTACTCCACCACGTGAGTGCTTAGAAAATTTCAGCTTTAACTAGTTTTACATGGATTCATTGTCTTTTGGTTGTGCGACATTTTTATGCTTGTTTGATACCGTGCTGTTGAATTATTCATTATATTGGTGTTTGATTTGGTAATTCGTAGTTGGCCCATTTCTGGCACTAGTTTTTTGGTTGGTGGAAACAGAAATTGAATGCTGAATTTTATGGTTCTCGTCTGCAGTTTGGATTCTCCATGATTGTGATGTTTGATTTGGTAAGTGGTAGTTGGCCCTTTTTTGGAAATAAGTTTCAGTCAATAGAAATAAAATTGAGAGCTGACTTTATGGTTCTCACTGCCATTTCTCTGCTAATGTTGTCTTTTGTATTGGGATTTCAGATCACTTTCCTTATGCTACAATTTTGAAACTGCATAAATAATCTGCCTTTGTGTAGATTCACATTTGTTAGCCAATTTGCTTGGTTTATGAGAAAATGGAGTTATTTAAAGAGGGTGAAGTTAATGATTTTAATGGTCCAATGGAGTCAAACCCTAATATGAACAGCTTAGTTATATTATTTATGTTTCTTACTATATTTTCTGAGCAGCAGCAACCAAACAGAAAATCAGGTTTGCCTGTGGGAGAAACTGCAGGTCTATGTTTGCTTTAAGTTGCAGTACAATTATGTGTCCAAAGTGTTCCATTTTCACAAAATGAATAGTCAGGAGACCATGTGTGTATGTGAGAGATAGTTTAACCAACAGAATGGGTACCCTTTTGAATTTCATTTTCAGGACGGCAGATCTTGTAGAACAAGTATTGCAAGGAAGGAATGGATCCGTGTTCTGCTATGGTGCCACAGGAGCTGGTAAAACATATACAATGCTGGGGACAGTTGAGAACCCCGGAGTGATGGTTTTGGCAATTAAGGATCTTTTTACCAAGATTAGGCAAAGGAGCTGTGATGGAAACCATGTGGTTCACCTCTCTTATCTTGAAGTTTATAATGAAACTGTCAGAGATTTGCTCTCTCCTGGAAGGCCTCTGGTTCTTAGAGAAGACAAACAGGTCTTTCCTCTATTTTGCCTAGTAGAAAATAACTAAATTTAGGATGTTTTAGAGAGAAAGTTAACTTTTTTCCTTGAAAGACCTCCTTCCCCTGAAAAGAAGATGATGCCGTTAACATAAACATTCTCCTTTTATTCAGTTCCGGGTAGAATTCATATGTTCGCTTGTGTTTCATGACATAATTGTGATGCAAGGAACTGTCAAAGGAAAAGGAAATGGTATCATGATTTTCCTCCAGTCCATCTTATTAGGATTGGATCCCAGCAGTGAAACATAATAATTATTCAATTTTTATGTCATTTTAGATTTGATATGCCACTGACGATATATCTTTCAATGTAACAGGGAATAGTAGCAGCAGGTCTCACTCATTACAGAGCTTACTCCACTGATGAAGTATTTTCTTCCTTACATCAATTTGAACATTTCAGATACGGTATAGTTTGAACGCTTCATAAGTGACTAAATTGCCAAGTTTTAATAATTTTGCCCTGTATTGTGGCAGGTGATGGCATTGCTTCAACAAGGAAACCAAAACCGAACCACTGAACCAACTCGTGCGAATGAAACCTCTTCACGATCCCATGCTATTCTGCAGGTAATATCTACGTGCTTGTACATATTTCTTACGCATGGTCCTTTTGTTTCTTGTTCATATGGCTCATGATAGAAAATTAATTTATATTTTTGCTATGTTTTAAAGATTGGCTAAGTTCTTTTCAGGTGGTTGTTGAATACCGATTTAGAGATGCTTCCATGAATGTTATCCAAAGGGTGGGAAAGCTGTCGCTCATTGATCTTGCTGGCTCGGAGAGGGCCCTTGCAACTGATCAGAGAACACTCAGATCACTTGAGGGGGCCAACATAAACAGATCACTTCTTGCACTAAGCAGCTGCATCAATGCCCTTGTAGAGGGCAAGAAACATATCCCATATCGAAATTCAAAGCTCACTCAACTTCTCAAGGACTCGTTAGGAGGAGCTTGTAACACTGCAATGATTGCAAATATCGGTCCAAGTAATCTCTCATTTGGTGAAACTCAAAACACCTTGCATTGGGCTGATCGAGCCAAGGAGATCCGAACCAAGGTCCTGATCTTCCCTCATATTTCGTTGTGTAATTACTGCCACCTTCTATCACAATCTCTAGAATTGCTCATGCTTTTGATAATTATTCCACTGTTTGTGTCTCAAGAGCTCACATTTCATGTTAATATCTGTTCTCCCAATGAGAATCCAATGAGAAAAAAGACTTTTTTTTCTTACCTGTCATTGAATTGCAGGCATGCGAGACCCAAGAAGAAATACAGTTACCAGAATGTGAAACTGATCAGGCCAAGCTATTGATTGAAGTGCAGAAAGAAAATCGCGAATTGCGGGTGCAATTAGTACAGCAACAACAAAAGCTACTCTCACTCCAAGCACAATTGTTGGCTGCAAATTCCTCGCCAACTCCTCCTTCGATTACCTCTCTTCAGACTCCTCTATCTACCGCCAGACAAAATGAAAAAAGGAAAGCTAGACCATCTTTCTTAAGTGGGAACTGTTTCACGCCAGAATCAAGAAAAAAGGGCGCAGAGGAAGCAGTCAGAGAGCTTCGGCAGACTGTCGAGGCATTAGAGGCGGAAATCGAGAAACTGAAGAAAGATCATGCGACACAGCTAAAGCTGAAGGATGATCGTATACGCGAGTTTTCCCGAAAGAGTGAAAAGCCATCAGCAGGAGCAACAATGCAAGGAGCAAAGAGGGTAGTGACTAGAGCTAGTTTGCGGCCGAAGGAAACAAACATTGGTGAGTTGAAGAGTCCAAGCCACCGTTTCAAGTCCCCAGTTCCAAGTGTAAAGAAAAGGAGCTTTTGGGACATAACAACAGCTACCAGCCCATCAGTTGCTACACTAAATGGAAGAAAAACCAGAAGTCATGTCATTGCTGATAACACTGCAGCAGCTCCCTCCATGCTTCTTCAGGTAGATCTCTCCTTTATTTCCCAAACATTTCTAAGAATAAGATGCATAGGCTGAAGGGAATCTTGAAATTAAAACATTCAAAGTAATAATCATAATTTGCACCTGGAAACAATCTAATTAGTAATATCATCTCCATGTTTCTGGTTTGTGTTCATGTTTGGGCCGCACATCATGAATTTTATCATTCAGCCAGGTTTTGCTCGTCAAAGACCCTGATCATCCTTTGAAGTAGCAACAAGAAGAAAGTGTGCAGCAATGTGAAGAGATTTAGAAAGAATAGGAGGAAGCCATTATGGACTGGGGAGTTGTGTTCATGTTTTCCTAGGCACTCCCTCCCCATTGTGACCAAAGAAATTCAAGATTTTTTTTTTCGTATTTCTTCAGTTCAATTTATGAACTTTTTTTTTCCTAATTATTTTTATTTAATGATTCAGCTTCATTTCTTTATCGAAATTTTGATCTAAAATTTTAGTCCTCGTTTGCTGTGAGAAGTTTATTGCCGTAATAGACTGTCTCATTTAGTTCAATTCAAAATCCAAAGTGTTGATTTAGTTTTTCCCTTTATTGTAGCATTCATTATGTTCCATTTTCTTACATTTGTAATTTATGGATGAATTTAAATAGCTGAAGTAAAAATGCAGGGAGTTATGAAAGTATATGTTCTTACATTTTCCATGTTTCAAAATGTCCATAGTCTTTGTAATCACAAGCCTCACAATTTTGTTGTTAAGTTCAGGAAGCAAAAAGCATTTATGATAGGTGGAGCAGTAACAATACAAAGTGCCCCTTTCAGCAGTATATATATATTTATATTAGAAATTAATTATGTGTCTGCACACATAAAACTAATTATTTATAATTTATTTTTTATTCTAAAATTAATATTTTTAAATAAAATAATTAAAATATATATCATTAGTTTTGTTATAAATTAATTATGTATTTATATACGTAACCTTAATTATTTGTTATTTATTCTCTTTTATGTTCTAAAATCAATATTTAAAAAAAATAATCGAAATAATATTTTGAAAGAAACTTTCAATTATTTAAATATAATTTTTTATATTAATAATATTGATTATTTTATTAATAAATATATATAAACTAAAAAATTATACTCAATAAATAAATTTGATTTATATTAATCACAAGAAATAAGATTTTTATACACGTTATACTATACAAATCATTAACATAACGGTTGAGAGAGAGAGAGAGAGAGAGAGAGAGAGAGAGACGTTTTATTCCAGCACCACAGTAATGCGAGAACTTACATACCCCAAAGAAGGCCAAACAGGGTCATTAATATTTGATTGATACTAAATAAAAAGCATGCTTTCATGGGGTTTGCCCAATGGCACCCCCATAATATGCAGGCAGACTCCCATACCCAGCACCTCCTCCAGCTTCATCTTTTGGTCCAGCCAGCTCTGGCTTACGCAAGCCCCAACCTCACCCTGGTCCTCCTCCCAAGCCTCCCCAACCCGGAAATGGCCAGCCTCCTCCCCAAATACCTGGACCCAAAATGCCTCCTAGGAAATTCTGAGGATTGTAGACCTCTCCTGTCATTCCCAAATCTCTTGCTCCTTCAGTGATACCAAATGCTATAAGAAAGAAAATCAAAACAAACCAGGCCTTAAAATTCCTTTTTCCAATGGCAACTTAATTGATCTCTTTCTCAGTACTCTTCTTTTTCTTGCCGAGGATTTGTCTCCCTCTCCACTGCATTTTATAGTGCCGATTTGTTAGAACAAAGGCATCACTCGTTTACTTGACTAGGAGAGTGACTTTAATGCTGTAAAACAGTATATTATGGTGGGAGGTCCACACTCCACAGTAAAATGCCAGTCCAATTATGTATGGTCCATGAATTTCTGTTTAAGGTTTTATTTTAGGTTGCTCTGATGACACTGGACAGAACATATATACTAACTTCATTGATGGCCTCATAGCCCCCTAGATTAAATGTATCAAACTGAGGATTGCTTGTGAACTTCTGCATTACCTTTTACCTAAAAAAAGACGACTTAAACCGGTAAAACGTTGACAATTAGATGAGTGGATGATGGAGGTTGAACGTTAGCTAAGAGTTCAATAGGCAGCAAACTCAGTTGAAAATTTATCAGGTGGTAATAAGCTTGCCCATCTGGCTGCATTGAACGATAAATGATGATCTTTTTCAGGTCTAACGAAACCACTTTAGTCTTTACTTGTGTTTGCTATCGCAGGCTAGCAGCTGCTCGTTACTCCTAAAAGACCCAGTAGAATTCGGCTAGGTAAAAAATTCTTCCCTGGGCCGAAATACTTTTCCTAATTAAGATGGACTTATGTAATCCATATTTAATTAGGACTATTTCTGATGTAGTCCAATTAATTATGGATCCACATAGTACAAGGAATCATTAAAACCTTTTTCTAAAAATAGGAATTCACAAACAAAAAGGATTTTCAATCCCCTACCATTCAACGACCTCCTATATATAATTTAAGAAATAAATAATCAATAAGAATTTAATAATTTAGCCCAAGTCCAAAGCACAAAATAAACTCAAAATAATAATAATCTAATTCATATGGGATTTAAATAAACAAAACATAAAAATTAAAGATAAATAAGCAAAAACTTTGGACCAACAATAGCCTAGAGCATTTGGTCATGGTATGGAGGAGACACTCCTGTGTCATTAAGAAACATATCTTTCAACCAAATATTATATCTGTAGGTTAAGCATTCAACCGTATGTTTAAGCATGATTGTTCATTTTTGACAATTATGTACAAAGAGACATAGCAATTCCCATACACCAACAATAATTAGGGGTTTACCTAATTATTTGTGTATGCATTTCATATAATTTAATCTTTGTGTCTTATTTTTATTGGTCTAATTATAGATGATGCATTAAACTAAGTTTACCTAATTATTTCTCCTAAGACACTCAAAAACACAAACACAAATGCAAATGCATGTCACTAATGACTGATTGGATATGCACCAACTTCCGGACAATAGTATTCTACTTGGTGGCTAAATGAAGAGTTATCAGAATCCAAGGAACTCAACATGATCATAGCCATTATATGTCATGAACTCTTCCCTCACAACTCCATTAATTATTCTGCTCCCTTGGTTTCCTTCTTTTGAAATTCTTAGCAACCTATTCATAATGACCAAGAACCCTACTTTTGGCTTGTTTTGACATATATCACATTAAAAGTTCATTGTCAGCTCCAAGCAAATTACTCTTCCTAGCTACCTCAATTTGGGACTCGAGAAAGCAAATCCTAAGAGTCATTACTTCCAAGAAACCTTTAGAAACATATATATTGAACCTCTTTCCGTTGGATATTTGTATACTGTTCAGTGCTTCTTCAATCATGGATGTTAGTAACTTCTTTTTGGACCTTGGTGTTCGAGTAAAGAAACAGCAGAAATATGGCCATTACTATGACCACTTTTCTCTTGCTTACCGCATAAAAGTGTGAGTAACCGATATTTTATGAATCTGCATAATATTAATTTCCTTGGAAATTGAAGGAAAGTAACTTCCTTTAACAACATAAGTGCTAGAATTTTGATAAAATTTAAAGTTTTTACAGATAATATATATTACTCCACCTCTTAGCTCACTTTATGCAACTTCCTTGTACTAACATGCTATTGAAGCCATGTACTGATGTATATCTTAACGAAATCTTACATCTACTCAACAACTTTCATATTTTCAACCTAAGCAGCCACACTTCTTGACCTTTTTGTCAATCTGAACAGTGAAGATCTTACGGGCTCCTATTTCTGGTCCTAATCTGGGAATTGAAACTAATCATACAGTTTCATTTTTACGTTATGCGAAATAAACTTACTGATGCTAGGAAGTCCGTCAATGCTGTACTAAACTACCAACTAATACATCTCTAGTTGCAATTTATTTTATGTGCGGATTCCCTTTATCAGACTTCCATCCATCTTTGTTTTTTTCCCCCTATTAAATACTACAAAGTAGCCATGCTATCATAAGTCCACAAAAATTATATGCGGCCTCAGAAAAGTAGCCAAAGCTTTTCTTTTTCTTTTTTTCGCATAATTAATGGTACTACACTATATCTAAATATTCAGGAAATGCATTAATAATCTTAGAGTAACATTATTGCATATAATAATGCATTAATCAGAGCCATCATTTTCGTCCCTTCCTTTCATCCTACTTGAGTAACCAAATGGGGCAGTCTAGACGATGTATAATGCTCAAAATATTAATTAGCCCAAGGCCAATATAGGTTAAGACTAGTAGCAACCCTATATGGTGGGCTTAGAGCTATTTATTATCAACCTTTAAATCAAAAGTTTTGCAATTCAGTGGAGTTATAATGGCATAAAGCAGCGGTGGCCTTGCCTACTTTTATTCATGCATAGGCATAGCAACACAACTTTTGTATCTTTTGAAGAATGACGATTAGATGATGCAAAACATACTTCGATATTCGTGTGAGGTAATCTTAACGGATTGCTTTTGTCCCAGCTGTAACCCACAGCCTCTGCCGTGTCCCCCTTGGCCCGCCCGCCCTTCTCTTTTCCTTCTTCTTTTCTATTTTTTTCGCAGAGTGAAAGCCTTGAAACTAGGAGAGAGAGGATGGGGGTAGACACTGGAACAGTGTCACAGACTACAAACTGACCCTTTCATGGTGACCAAAATGCCCATCTGAAAGACATTTTTCCTGAGGTTAAACATGCCATTCGTGTAAAATAATGCAGGATGAAACAGTGAAGCTTTAAAATTTTGTATGGCAGAAAGAATCAAAGTGGCAAGGGGAAAAAAGCAGTCAACAAATGACAAAGGCCTAATTCTGCTGCCAGGGATTGGATTTTTCTTTTTCTTTTATATATATATATATATTTTGCTTTTGATGACTTCTATGATTAGGCTTTAATAAAATTTCTTGGGATCAAGCCACACAGAATTTATGCACTAAAAGCAATGATTGGAGCAATTTACTCTTTTAGACCAAATACTGAACTTTTTTTTCTGGGATAGATGAGTTAACACAAATGTGCTAAAAAGGATCCTAGCTAAACAGGGAAATTAAAAGGGTGAAAAGAAACTGAACTTATCATTGATGTACTCAGTTCTCTTTCTGGGAGAGAGAGAGAGTATGAATCCTTAATGAAATGCCTTCTCTGTACCAAGAAGGGTAAAAGAAAAACATGCATTGATCATTCATATGTACAAGTCCTAATAGCTTTCTCAACAGACAAAATAAAATAATATTTAGCAAATGAAACTATGTATAGACAGGTAGATGAAGGGTACAGGATTGTTGTTTGAGGATCATTTCTCAAATTCAAAATTAAACTCACACCAGATAGGTATTTTTCCTAAGTAGAGACCACTGTATTAACAAAAAAAAAAAACATTCAAATGTATTCTGCAGGGCCCTTGAGCTTGAAATTGTTTTAAGTAGATGGATGCCATCCAGGTAGTTATGTCAATAGAGAAAGAAAAAAAATTGTAAATTTGTAAGACCGTTTGATTCAAAGGTGAACGCATATGAACAGATAAAAAGACCAATTTAATGGGTTCATGATGGCCTTCTACTTGATTACAAGTGAGGAACATAATAGAATAATTTCACTACATAAGCGGAGAGATTGAAAAAACAATACTGCAATTGCTGTGATGCTCCTGGTTTTTGTTAGTATTCCTTGCTATGGGGGTTGAAATTGAGAGAAATTAAACAAAATGAGAAGACAGCCATGATTGCATTAGCCCCCTTGTCTCATTACTTGCTAAGAAGATAGAAGAAAAACTATACATATACACCATCATGACCCCACCTATCCATATCCATCATGTTCTAATGTATTTCCCCTCCACCTAAAACTAACAAAATACAGGTAAAGCCCACTTCCCCAATTTCTCCAAAGGAGAAGAACAAACAGAAAAAGGAAAAAAGAAAAAAAAAAAAAAGTTTGAGAGAACTAGACCTCCATTTTCCATGCCCAAGAACTGAACAAGTATCACTAGCTTACCTTAAAATGGAGAAAGAAAAAAAACAAAGGAAATAGAAATAACTGGACTTTAGACTCTAAGCAAATAGACACTGAGCTCAGGAGCTCCGTTGCTATCAGGATTCATCATGTAGAAAGCCTCGGAATCTCTAGACCCCACAATTCTCTCAAACTTGGCTCTCATATACATGAGTTCGCCATCAGCTGAACAACCTGGCAAAACACCCGCACCCATTGAAATTGGCTCTACAGCTTTCAATACCTTCCACTCTTTAGGCCCACATTCCTTCCTTGTAGCGAAACCACATTTCTTGCCATTGCAATAAGTCCTCCACATTGGCTCCTCCAGCAATCTCACAGCTTTCTTTTCCTCTCCTTTCTCTCTGTCACATTCCAATGCAATTCTGACTAACCCAGATGCCATCTCTCTAACCAATCCACTTATTGGTGTAGCAAGTTCGATAAGGAAAGCCGGAGATGAATTGGGATCCCTTTGAAATGCAAGATGGACATGACCCCGGCGATATCCAAAAAGTGTGCCAACAACTCGGGATCCAAGCCCCAGTGGAAGGTTGGATCGGTTCTTACCAAGAGCTGCAACAACGGATCGGAGTCTAGCAACTGCTATTGCTGGTAGTTTTTTCTTTGGGGTTGGCGTTGCAACATGGCTCTTAACATTTTCCCTCTTTTCTTCTTCGTTAGTCTTTGAAGAGGACTTAAAAATTGGAACTTCATCGTCTTCGTTTCCAACCTTTTTGGTCCAGTGGAAGTGTCTCTTGGAGGAGTCTTGAGAGGTTCTAGCCATAACTAGTTGATGACTTCAATATGAGAAAGCAAAATCAATGAGAAGGTTAGTCCTTATAGATGGCAGGCAGTTGAGAGTTGAGAGGGGAGGATTTTTTTCTGGGTTTATTTATTTATTTGTGGGGCTTCCATTTTAATTCTTTGTTTCTAGGTCCCTTGATGCAGGGCAAGAGAATCCTGACAAAAGAAACATAGGCTGTCCCACCAAACTGAAATAGGAATAAGAGTGAGCTAGAGATTTTGAAATAGAAAAGAAAGGAATCTGAGGAGACAATGGAGGTGTTATTTCACTTTCTTGTGGGGTAGGAAGAGAGGGATTTGGCTTGACTGACTCTTTTGACTTGGAATCCAAAAGCAGCATCAGCAGAAGTATCAAAAAAAAAAAGAGACCAAACCCACAGCTCTTTGCTATTCAATCATAGACATGCTCTGCATCAATGTTTTCCAGTGTAAACGTGCCCCAGGGTGATGTTATGTGTGTAACTTGGGTGTGAAGTGTCCACATTCTACCTACCTAGGAACTGACACCTCATTTTTTTTTTTTTGTGGGACCCTTCAAGAAAGCCCTTCCATTTGTTTGCGTTCTAACACCAAAAAGAAAAAAATGGACGAATCCCTAAACTAAACGGTAACCCCCAAAATATGCCCCTTCCTTTGTTTATGTTCAACACATTAGCCTTAGTGCACCCAAAATGGCCACATGTGGCACCACCCACAGGGATCAGATATCGGTTTTACCTCTTACATGTTATGACCATAATGTTGGGTTAAAATTTCAAGTCCAACCGTCCTCGGAACAAATTGTTGGCCAAGAGACTCATTTCAGAAGTCGTAAAAGTTAGCAACATGATTGAGGATTTCCACCGGGAAGAAATAAATACAAATGAAAAATGGAAACAAACAAATCAGTCCTGACTAAATATTACGATAACCACAAGAGAGATTTGGACAAACTTGCACTAATTACATTAAGTTATAAACATGATCCATACGATAAAAGAGTACAAATCCCAGTGCATACCCATATAGGTCCCTACTGCACTTGACAATGACTTTGTACACTATATAAGATAAGACTAGTTGTGCAAAGGGAAGATTGATGCTTGCCTATGGCTCAAGAAAGTAAAGTCCCTAAGGTTAGCTCTCTAAACTTTGGTTAGTCTCTGGCTGCTTTGGGGCACTGACCCCACCATTCATTCTTGCACGCGCCTCATCAAACATCCTTTGCTGCGCAGCTGCTGCTTCTTCCTCGGTCATCGCTGCTCCATTGCTCCATTTACCACCTTTTAAAGAGTCATGCTGGAAGAAACCAAAAAAAATTGTTGAACAATAATTGCATTTTGTGCTTTGGAAGCTCAACTGTAATAAGAGATAATATCACTATGTGCTCTCAAAACTCAATTGTAAGTGGCTAACTTAACTAAACAGCGAATCTACAAAATTCAAAAAACAAAATGATAGAAAGAAGGCTTGATAAAGCTCATAACACTAATCCACTAAGGCAAAAGGAAAATAAAAAAAAAAAAGGCAGATGTTGAACCTGTTAGACTAAGAGATGATTTTAAAATATTATTACAGAAAATGGAAACAGATGAGGATGGGAGGAAAAGGATAAAAATTACCATAGTCTCCAGCTTGTGTTGCTCATATGCAGTATAAACCTCCTCAATGTACTCTCCAAATCCAAGAACCTGTGGATCAGATAATAAATCAGATTGTACTTGCAAATAACAATTGTAAAACGTTAAACCCGATCATTCTTAGCATCAAAATTGCAGACTGGCAACCAGAAGATTTTTAAAAGGCAGATGGGTTTCAAGTGCAGTTTGCTAATCTATTCCACAACAAAATACATGAATGGCTTCAATAAAAAATTAAAAAAAAAAAAAGAAAGAAAGATAAGAACAGAAGCAGACTGACATTGAAGGCATTTACAGCAAAACAGTTACTACTACTACTAAAATATAACTCAAGGAATATCCCATGGATTAAAAGATCTATGAAAATCCTCAGTAAATTAACTGATAACTGGAAGATCAGCATCACCAATCATTCTGAAAACATCATAAGAGATGAAAGAAGAAAGTACAAATGATTAGAACATCTGGTCTCGTTCTACTCTTTTTTTTTTTTTTTTTTTTGAAGAGAGGGGGAGGCAGGGTGTAAAACCTAGGTTCAAATTATTACAAAGAAAAATTTATAGCACGTCATGCATCATGCTGTAACAGTATGAAAAGAAAATAAACCGTGGTTTGCATCCGATGCACAAAAAATCTTGCTTCCAACTAACAGTAAAAATTACAGTAGGAGAGAGACAACAATATGTCAATATATGCAGAAGGTCCTATAAAATAAATAAATAGGACACAAGAAATTATGCATGTAAAAAACCCACACTAGAGAGAGAGAGAGTAAATTGGATCAGCGAAAGACCTCTAAAGCCTTGAGTACATGCTCAGGTGCAATCGTTCGCTTGTCTTCTCTGCTACATACTTCATTGGACTCTGACGATACAAGGTTTATAAATTCTACAAAGAAACAATTCCTCAGAAATCGTTAAAACACAAATCACAAAAACATATTACTAAGTATAGACTGTTTGGTAGTCAAGAGAGAAGAAAATCCAGTGATGCAGACAGAAATAGGTGCAAAAGAAAAAACATTCGACATTTATGTGGATGGAGTAACTTAGTTTTAGATGTTATATCAGCAACCAATGAAAATACCATTGAGCAAAGCCAAAATTATAACCAAATAAACAAAAGGCACTTGCAAGGGATACTAGATTGACTATATATATTAAAGAATCTAATTTAAGCACCTGTCTTATATGGCAATAATAGTTCAAGAATCTCAAGCTGCAACTTTGATTACAGGAAATGAATGAGTGAGCTTAATGCTTTATATAGGAGAACAGGCATGATATCTTCAAAAGAAATGGCGATCTTTTATACGTTATTGCAACTAAAACTCCTGTTCTCCATCCCCGTATTTAAGCAGGATAATCTCAACAACAGTTTCCTGAAAGGGTCTTATATATCAAATGGAAGGGCAATATACAAAGATGCCTTTCAATATTTGCAACTTCATTTATGGCTCTGACTATTGGTAAGGATCATAATTTACAGCCTAGTAATAGGAAGTTGATTATTTGAAGGCTAGGCTCCAAAAAAAACAGAAACTTGTATATATTAATAGCATCACTTCTAAAATTAACAACAGTCTTTCCAGATTCCAACCAATCTCATTCCAATAAGCTTTTAGTTAAGAAGAAAGCTTAGAAGAAACTTTTTCATAGGTTTCTTTGAAAAAAAAAGACATTCAATACCATGTGGTGAACCACGTCTTGGAATGAATCAAATTCTAGACATGAAATGGCTTTTAATGACATGCTGTTGCTGCAAACATACGTATGGCAGATATATTGTTCTAGAAGAAAACAAAAACAATAAGCACATTTAAAATTTTTCAGAATGGACCACAGAGCTTTTGTTAAGGTATTTGCTTTGTCACAACAGCTCCAAACAATCGATTAATAAAGGTGTGTCTCTGGAAAGTTTCGTATGGAGATAACTATAGCAAAATCAAAAGGCCAAAACTGAAGTTTAAAAATATTATCATTGTATTTTATCTTAGGTTAAGAATAAATATTCACAAATGAAGCTTGCTTCAGAATTCTCATTGGCTTTGGAGCTTTAGCTCCTGACTTCCTGCCTCTCTATTTTTCATCCTTTTTCTTTTCCTTTTCCTTTCTTCCTTCCTCCCTCTCCCCCCACCCCCTCTTTCCTTATGTTGTGTGTAAAGTGGACGATGGGCATTGCCACAAGCAGCTGGTCATTTAAATTTCAGCTGATCAAACTTATACAAATCCCCTAAAACAAAGTGCCTGAAGATGATTTAAAGGGCCACACTTATTCTGTCTCCCCACATGCATAAATTTTTTTTTTCCCAGAGAAAAGTTTTGCCTAGAGGTGTATCAATGGAAAGAAAATGATTATAGATTAATGCAGAAAAAAAAACTCAGGTTTATAAACCCTGCAAGATTTAAGAAGTCTCACCTACACAACACTCAATTAAAAGATCTTGAGCATCTCTGGCAACACGAACATCAGGGGGTAACATCTCTTTAATAATTTTGGTCATAGTTGCTGGAAAAGAAAATCCATAACTGGCATCAGAAAAAGGGAAAATAAAACAAGATATTACGTAATTATCAGCTATATGGTTTAAGCATCAGAGGAGACTCAAAATAAAGCATAACTCCAAACTCTCACACACATGCACGCCCACATCCATGATTTTGTGTAGAATTTGTGCTATTTGTCAAGTCCAGTTGAACAATGATTCAGAACAAGTTAATGCTCCACCTCATTAGTGCAAGCTTAATCACATCAGGCTCATATTGATCAAACCCCACAATCCTGACCTCACTAGGAAAGACCAGCTATAGCTAAGTAGTGCAGCACATTCATCATTCTTTCCAGGACTACAAGGCCAGCAAACCCTCAACACAAAGCATATAGAAGTTACACGCACAACACCAAACAGACACCGCACAGGAAAATGCCTAAATCACCACAAACCACAACAGTGCCAGGCCGTCGCTATTCCCACTTGACCCAAAACCACTCAATAATGACTACAAATATGCAAGGCAATGGCAATTAACCACAAATACAAGCACAAATGTCGAAACCCTAACCCATAACTAAGTTCCGCTTGTGAAACTCTTAGCTCATAAATTTTATAATCTATTGGGAAAAAACCTAAGGTAAAGCTCCTCGTTTTATTTTGTGTCTACAGTATTTTTCAAAAACTCAATCTAGCACCTCCAAAAAAAAAAAACGTAACTTGCCAAACCACAAAAATTAATAAACTAACAAACCAAGAGAAAAATTTTAAAAAAAAAAATCCAAAAATATAAATAAAACTGACAAAATTTAAATACGCTTAAAATTAAATCTCAATCTTACCTTTAGGAAGCGAAGCATCCTCCTTCGATTTACCGACTATATCCAACGGTTCCATCGCTAAATCCTTCAAACCCTAAACAAAAAGCCAAACAAATTTATGAACACACAGATCTACAGCCATATCAATCAATCGAGAGAGGGAGAGAGTTAACTCACCGAGTCAAAACACGGAGATAAAATCGTGTGAATCTACGGGCGGAGAATCCGAGTCAACCGATTCAGAACCGTATTTACTACAGCTATTGTTGTTATTGTCGTCGTCGTCGTCGTCGTCGAGTGAGAGATCAAGACAAGAAGAGGAGGAGGCATGGCTGTTGTTGTTCATATATGATGAATTTATCAACTGAGGTCATGATTTGATTTCGGTGTTTGTTTCTCTCTTCTTCACGATAAGGCTTCCAGGTCCTGCTCGCATGCGATTTGCTAAACCCCAAAAACTGTTCCTCTCTCGCTGAGTCACGCGCTAATGTAAGCGCGTTTTTATTCGACTAGAAAATGACGGGTTCTTGGACCTTTGAGGTTTACTGGTACGTGTTCTTAACGCGTCATAAGAGTGCGTTATGTGCAAACTGGATCTTGGGTTGGTTTTGTATTTAATTTTTTTTTTAGGTTCGAGTTTTAATAGTCTTTTTAATTTGTTTGTCGTGTTTATCCGATGAAAGAACTGCGGTTTACAAAAAACGTCGTTTCGTGTGTTTTTTGGTGCAAACTAGTTTGCTTAGCAGAGATGGCAACATTCTAATTGGGCCGCTTATTAACTTAGAGATTTACTAGAATGTGACCTGGTCTCCGTTGCGGATAAATATTACTTTATTTTTGTATTAATTCAATTTCTGTTGGTTTATGATTAAGTATATGAGTTACAAATAAAGTTAGTTTGAAAGAAGTTAAATAAAAACAACATTTTAACAGATTATGAATACAAAAAGGTAATAGTATAGATAATCTATTTAATTGAAGATATCAATTTAATATTGATATTTGAAACAACTATATATTAATTTCACCTAATTTCTTCTGCATTTCAAATCTTAGATGTAATTGCAAAATCAACAACTTTTTCGTCTCTTTTTCTATTTTGATATTTATTTTTTCTTGTTTAACGATCTTTTAACCTTAACTTTTGCATTTTTTTTGTTTAATCCCGAAGTATGATTTTTTTTTTTTTTTTTTTTTTTTTTTTTTGGGCCAAACCATGCATATCTATTAGTTGGTCTTTCTCTTCTATCATAATTCATAAAACCAATGGATTCCCTTTTTCAAGAAACACATCAGTTGAGAGCATCACAAAACGGACTAAAAAAGCAAACTTTGAATCGGTATTTTTTTGCCAAGTGCAGCAGCATGTGTTGATTACTCTTGAGTTTTGTTTATGTGGGAAATGCGAGGAAGATGAGGGAGAGATAAGATGTGGAGGCTTAGATGGTTTTGGATTGAGGAGAAAATGAAAAACGTATTATGCTATGTTTGTTTAATAAAAAACAACTTCTATAGAAAAATCAATTCCTAAAGAAAAAATTATTTTTCAAAAATATATTTTTTATCGTTTGATAATTACATAAAAAAAACTTACTGAAAAATATATTATAGCGTTTGTTTGATACAAAAAATTAAAATACTAAAATATTATATGATTTTTACATCAACAAGTTTTCGAGAAAACTTTAAAAATAAATGTTCATAATTTTACAATATAAGATACAATTAGAAAATTTTAATAAATTTTCATAACTCGTCGACTCTAAAATTTTAATTCAAAAAAATAAAATATATTTTTTTAACCATCAAACAAATTCATCAAAATTATTTAGGACAAAATCAAATCAATATTCACATTTAGTAAAAAAACAATTAAGTAATCCTAGCATTGTTATTTTGGTAACTCAATTAAGAATTCTTTTTTTATAAATTAAACTGATAATTTAATCTAAAAAATAAATTTATAAATTATTAGTTATCATTTTTAGATAATTATTTATTTGGTTTTAAAAGATTAATGTTGGAATAATTTCTAACTAATTATTTCATATAATTACCAATAAAATTTTACAATCGATTAAAATTACAAATTATTGATTTAGTTGCAAATGAATAATATTGAAAAAATAATGTATTTATTAATGAATTAATTAATTTCAATTTTTTTACAAAAAAATTACAATCTTGTAATAATCATTTTCAATTATTTAAGTATAATGTAAGTGGTGTTTGAGATAATAGTAAAAAAATAAAGATAAATTATTGAAATATTTATTATAAAAATAATTTTAAGGTGTAAAAATGATTTTTAAGAATATTTAATGTATATATAAATCAAAAAATCAAATATTAATAAAAATAGAAAAAAATAATTAAATAATGAATAATAATTGATAAGGAATAATTAAAAATTAATTTGATATATTTTAAATAAAAAGAAGATAAAGAATAAAATTGTTAAAATATGTCGTGAGAGAGGTAAGTAACACGAAAGTGAGGTAGCTCGTGAGAATGAAAATGTTTGCCTCTTTTTAAATTCAGTTCAAAAATAGTCTATCATTTTTCGTTAACTTTTTTCCCAAATACGAAACAAACACTAAAAAATGAGAAAAACAAGTTCCCGAAACTTGTTTTTTCCCAAACAAACACAGACCTTAAAGGAAAATGGTACTTCGTGCCAAAAAAATAAAAAAGGCTGGCTTTAAGCCATTATGAAGAATTTGATTAAAGAAACATGTGAATTCTATTATTTATGTAAAAAATATATTTGAAAATTCATAAATAAAGAAAAATAAATTATGTTTATTATAAAATAAATTATATAAAAAAATAAAAAGTTAATTTGATTAGAATTTTGACAAATTGAAAAGATTAATTTTAAAAAATAAAAATATATAATATGATATATGTTTTTATTATAAAATTTAAAAACATGAGAGGACAAAAATATCTTTTAAAAATACAAGAGACCAAAAATATATTTCAAAAAATGAAGGGCTAAAATAGAATATGGAAAGATATGAAGTGTCAAAATATCTTCAAAAAACATGAAGTATAAAATTTGTAAATGAATGCAAAAAAATTATTAAAAAAAATCACAAAAACCGTCATTCATAAAATTATTGACACAAATAAATAGTAATTTAGTGTTTATTAGTTTCTTTGCTCGTGTTACGTTACAAGTCGTATAAAATATATAAAAATCATTTCAGTTTGATAGTCTATTTTATGATATAAATCTATAAAAATATATGAAATCAAAGGTTAAAAAAAATATTTATAATTTTTTTATCAAAAATTTTGTATTTAACTATTTCTTATTTGTGTCTTTCATATTTTTTTCCTTTAGAACAAGGATTTATCCTTGCTAATTCATGAATTATTAACTAAAAAGAAAATTAAATAATTTTTTTAAAAAAAGCTTGAGTATTTCATAATATTGTGTCAATAAACAAAAATAACAATTGTTAAAAGCTTACATAGAATTGAATAAATAATTTTTTTTATTTAATGTTGATGAGACTATCGATTTTTAAAAAAATGTGAATGTAATTTTAATATGTTTATTTACAAAAGAATGAATAATATAAAAATAAAAAAATATATATTAATTTAAATCATTGAGTGATTAAGCCAAAACGTAATTTTAATTATTTAATTTGAAATAAATTAATTTTAAAATATTCAAAAATAAATAAATAAATAGTAAATGCTTAGTGTATTAGTTGCACGGTTAATTTCTAAAAAAACAATGATTCAATATTTTATACTAAGTGAGTTCAAAGTTTTCAGTCTAAAATAAAAAATATTATTAAAAAAAAAAAGTTAACTTGCAAGGAATCTATTGACTAAATTTGAAGTTAACAGATTAAAATAAAAATTATTACAAATTTGATTTTGATTAATCTTGATTATATAAAGAAGAAACAAATTAATAAATCATGTGAATTCTTTTTTTTCCTCCTTAAATAATTTTTTATTTCTATGCTATGCATGGCTAGTTCTCGAATACGGGCCTCATCCTCGGAGCAAACATCCTCTTTTTTTACTTTTTATAATTGACTTTCAAGTTTTAATTAACTACTGTGAGTTTTTTCCTAAAAAAATAGAGAAAAAATTATTTGAAATACACTTTTAATCTAAAAATGTATTTCAAATAAGTTATATATATTAATCACGTCACTATAATTTAAAAATTATCTAAATCTATTTTTCAAAAGAAAAAAAATCACAATACAATTAAAGTTTCGAAAGAAAAATTTTCTAAAAATTTATTCCAAAATCAACACATATAGAAAAATAAATCAAAATTATCAGTAAATATAATTTTAAATTAATTGAATGAGAATTTAAAAAAATGATAAATTAAAGTAATAAATTAATTAATAAAAAAACAAAATGGGATCGAATCACAATACAATTAAAGTTTCAAATTGGAAAAAATGTATAGAAAAATGGAGGACCATAAAATTTTAAATTAATTAGATGAGAATTTTTTTTAAAAAAGACAAATTAAAGTAGTAAATTTTAAATAATAAAACTAATTAACAAAAAATACCTAAACAAAATAAGATCGAATCATAATACAATTAAATTTAAAATTGAAAAATATATATATATATATATATATAGAAAAATTGAGGACTAAAAAAGTATTATAGACAAATTATATATATTAATGATTCCACTATAATTTCAAAATTATCTAAATATAATTTAAAAATTATTTAAATCTAAATCATGTTCGAAAAATTTAAAATCCATACATATAAAAAAATAAATCAAAACTATAAGTAAATATAATTTTAAATTAATTGGATGAGAATTTTAAAAAAATGACAAATTAAAGTAGTACATTTTAAATAATAAAATTAATAAAAATAAAACACTAAAATAAAATAGGATCAAATCATAATATAATTAAAGTTTGAAATTGAAAAAAAAAAAGAGAATTTAAAAAAAAATAACAAATTAAAGTAGTAAATCTTAAATAATAAAAATAATTAACAAAAAATACTAAAATAAAATGAGATCAAATCACAATATACTTAAAGTTTGAAATTGAAGAACAAAGTACAGAAAATTTGAGAACCAAAGTGTTACAAAAATGCTATAAATAGTGAAAAAATAGTGATATATGTGAGTGTGTGAACGAGTGTTTCAAATAGTGAATAAATAGTAAAACTAATGGTTTTACTTTAGTTTTATGTACTAGTTTGCTTCTCGAGCTACTGTTGCGATCCAAACTAAATATATTTATTATAGTTTGATAACATGTATTATATTATACTGTTAACTAAAATATATTAAATTAAAAAATAAAAGATAAAATTTCATCTAATTTTA